GTGTATACTGATCAATATCATCCATAAAGATACAGTGTATTCTGATCAATATCATCAATAAAGATACAGTGTATCCTGATCAATAATCAATAAAGATACAGTGTATACTGATCAATAGGATCCAACTGTCGGTTGGTGAATCACATACACACCCAACTGAACACTCAGTGACTAAACCCATTAATGTTATAAAGAGTCAGTCAGTCAGTCAGTCAGTTAATGGGTGTGAGCGAGGTTTTAATGTTCATTGTGTTCTATAAGCTCACCGTCAGAACTTAAGTTCAATGCTATTGTTGTTGTTGTTGTTGTTGTTGTTGTTGTGCACCTTTGTCTCTGTCCTTCTCTCTTTACACCTCTACCCCCCCTTTCCCTCTCTCTCTCTCTCTCTCTCTCTCTCTCTTTGTCTCTCCCTCTCTCTCTCTCTCTCTCTCTCTCTCTCTCTCTTTGTCTCTCTCTCTCCCACCCACCTAGAGCCGGAGGATCTGTCCTAGGTTTCTGCCTTTTAACAGGCAGTGTTTCCTTGCCCTTGTCTCCAAGGTCTTGCTCATGGTGGTACTGTTGGGTCTCTGTAATTAATGTTTTAAAGAGTTCGGTCTAGACCTGCTCTATTTGAAAAGTGTCCTGAGATAACTTCTGTTATGAATTGGTGCTACACTATATATATATTTATAATATATATATATATTATAAATGAGGGCCCTGAACTCATCCTGAGGTCGTTGGTTTGACTTCTGTCCAACATAAGAAATCCTAAAGCAGCATATTCAACTGAAATATAAGATATCTTCATATTTTATATTTATCTGTTAGTGACCTGCAGCCTTTCACCCCTCACACTGTAAACAACAGCACCATGGAAACAACAAGTGTCTCGTTTGGCAGGCGAGCTGTCGGACAAACACCTCAGATAATCGCTGAGCCGGGTCGGGTTTCAGCTGCTGTCATCTGATCCTCCTGCCGGGGAAACCTACTCCAGACAAAGTCCGTGGACGCGTGTCAGTGAGGATGAGGACAAAACCTGGTCCACAACCTGGTCCACAACCTGGTCCACAACCTGGTTCACAACCTGGTCCACAATCTGGTTCACAACCTGGTCCACAACCTGGTCCACAACCTGGTTCACAACCTGGTCCACAACCTGGTTCACAACCTGGTTCACAACCTGGTCCACAACCTGGTCCACAACCTGGTTCACAACCTGGTTCACAACCTGGTCCACAACCTGGTCCACAATCTGGATCACAACCTGGTCCACAACCTGGTCCACAACCTGGTCCACAACCTGGTCCACAACCTGGTCCACAACCTGGTCCACAATCTGGTCTACACAGGAAGCAGAGCTCTTCTGCTGTGAGTTAAACGTCACTTCCTGGGTCCACCATGAGAACTTCCTGTTGTCAGTCGGTCGTAGTGGGACTCATCAGACACGAGAAGTTTGGTGCAGATTGGACAAAGTACTCGAGCTGCAATAACTTCCTGTTATTCTGTGGACACGCCATGTGCCCGCCATTAAACAAGAACTCAAGTCTTTGATAGTTTGTCATGTGACTTCCAGTATTTATAATGGACAGAGATTCTCTCTGACGGCCAGCAGGGGGCAGCTGCACTCTGATAGTATCGAGTCTTTATGGAGAAGTTGATTTATGAGCTCAGTAAACAAACCGTGTGACCTGTGAGATTAGCTGTGGTATAGCATGCTAGTGTATCGTTCCTTATATCAATATGTATCCCCACTTTCACTAAATGTAACTGTAATCTGATTACATCTTTTGTTCTGTAACAATTACAGCTACCTGCAGTGTGAGGGAGGTTCCTTCCGAAGTGGGCGTGGCTAACTGGACGTTCATTTAAGTTGATCAGAGCTGTTATATTTATTAAAAATCTATTCCGAGAATTGATCTTCAGAGCAATGTTTCTGATCACAGCAGTAAGAGAACTATTAATAATTATAATATTAATAATCATAAAGTATTTACATTTTACTTGTTTTATCCTGAACCGGACACTCGCTTCATATTTATCTCAAACAGCAACATCTGAAGTTAAACAGACACTTTCTGAAAATACATTGAAATGCATTGAAAGTGAGAACGGCTGCTCAAGTGGATGTTCAGTCCTGCTGTATTATAAGCAGCTAGGAAATATTATAATAATAGTTCTGTGCAACTTCTCTTTATATGGAAATATAAAGCTAGGAGCCCCTCACATGTGTATGTTTTCTACCATTGTAGGATGAGGCGGGAGAACATTTGTGCCCAGAGAACTTCTACAGGTATATGATTATGTATCAGTGGCTGTACGGCTCAGCTTCCAGAGGCATTAAAAGATGCATCCCGCTGCTCCAGGAGTCAGGTTCCACACAGTGATGCAACCTGAGCTGCAGGCAAATTCCTCCTTTTCCTCCCCGCTCTATTGTCCTGCTGATGGTGTTATTAGATAATAATGAGCCGCCCGGCGGGGAGTCACTGTGTTATCTAATCTTCAGCTCAATCAGCACTGAATACTTCATGATAAGATGATAAATGGTACCTGTCCTGCATCAATACCCAAACAGATCCTTACAGTTCAGCCACAGACTCTGAATGAAGAGACATTTACTGTATGAGACGCTTCTGCATTAAGGTGCAGCTATAATCTGTTAACAGTGTATGTAGCTGATTCAAACAATAATCAATAATCAAAGCAGTCACACTGACTGTTTACCATCCACTGTTTAGATCTTGGTGCTTTTTAACTCTAGATTTGAACCGGATGAAGGATTTTAGTCATCGGACGTCTGGATCTTAAGTTATCAGAGAAACAAGCTGAGCTAACGTTAGCAGCAGCTCGGCTCGCAGCCCCTCCGGGACGTCCTTTGTCTGTCCAACAGTGTGGGAGAAGCAGTGATTGTTAAGGTGGAGCTGCTTTATTCAGTGTGTTTAAGGTGGAACTGCTTTATTCAGTGTGTTTAGTGGTTTTAATCAGCGGGTCTGTTTGTGTTGGAGAGGAGGAGACCTCTGTGGATCATTGGGCTCCCGGTAGAAACCTCCTGAACCATGAACACTGAAGGAATCCTAACCGGGAGGACGGTGGTTCCCAACCTGGGGTCGCGAGGCCTTCTTGATTTTAAGGCTGTAAGAAAATGGAAAAAAATATACACAGTAGAACTTTATCTCAGCAATTTGTTTATTTCTGTAAAACTAAATGAAATAGTTATTATTATTATTATTTTAAAGTGTATATTCTTATTGAAGCTGTGAACACAGTGTATATTATTATTATTGATCAGTGTACAGTGACAGAGCAGTCTCAGATCAACAGCCTCGTCCTGCATCAGAAAGCAATCAGCTGATAGATGAATATTCAGTGAATCTGTCAGAAATTAGAATATTAAGTCTGATTTTTAAAATAATAAAAATACAGAATACAGACAGAGAAGGGATCAATATATCAGGAAAACTCAACTCTGATCAATATTTAGAGTGTGAAAAACATTATCAGTATGACTGACTGCTATCACTGAGCAGTCAGTCATACTGCTCAGTGATAGAAACGGTGTGGAGGAAAGAGGATGGGAACACTGTGCACTGGAGTTCAGCTCAGTCCACCACTGGTTGATTTTTAACTCAGAGCAACAAATCTTAAAAAAATGTCTGCAGTCACTTTGATTCTAGCGCTGCGTAGAGGTCACAACAACACGTTCGCAGTTGGATGACATAAAGGCCGACAGACGATCACTTCATCTGATCACATTCCCGATCTGAAGGATGTTTGATGAGCTCGTGTCGACGGTTGACGTCACTCCAACGTCAGACAGATGTTCAGATCAGATGATCTTCTGATAGACACAGTGTAACGTCTTCCTGTGAACACAGCCAACACTAATAGACAGAGAGAGATAAGACAATAAAAGCATCACTTTAACTTTAACTACATTACCTGTAGTTGTGAATCTGTTTCCAACTAATGCACAATGCAGCTCAGCAACCACTTCAATGTTTTAATACTGAGAATCAATCAACAGCTTTACAGGATAAAGTCGTAACATTACGAGAATAAAGTCATAATATTACGAGAATAAAGTCGTAATATTACGAGAATAAAGTCATAATATTATGAGAATAAAGTCGTAATATTATGAAAACTGTCAGCCTGTTGGCTCAGCCAGCAAAACTGTTTAAAGACAAAATTAGCTTACCTGTTGACTGTACGGTACGACTGAGACAAACAGCGGCTGCTGGGCTCAGGCTGAGGCTGCTGATTGGTTGAGCTGCTCACGTCAGATCTTGATAACTCTATCGAAGCTTTTTTCTCATTAAAACAATTATATTATTCTCGTATTATTACGACTTTATTCTCGTAATATTATGACTTTATTCTCGTAATTTCACAAAAAATTAAATAATGTTTTTCTTAATACTCCATCGTACATTATAGTACAAACATCAACTGTAATTAAAATCCCTGAGAGAAGGAAAATCTGTCTAATTTATTTAATGTTCTTCATTTCATTTAGTTAAAGTGTGATTATGAAAACAATCATTGAAACAAAAATAAAACAGACTGTAAACTGTGTTGTCCAGTGTCACTGGTTTTCAGTTTCAGGGGTGAGGAGGATTTACATACCTGTATCGCAGTGTGTGGTCAGAGGTCGGAGGTCAGCCGCCGTTTGGATTCTGGATTTTGATCATCAATATGCAGATATGTAAATAACGCCCTCCTGACCCCTGAAACTGAAAACCAGTGACACTGGACAACAATAACAACAACAATAACAAGCCCTGAAATGGAGAAACAATCTGAAGATCCAAAACTATCAGACTACAAAAAATATCAAAATAAAAGTCTGTGATTTATTTTTCAGCGTTTCAATGTTTCCTTTTTCAGTTTAGTCACAGTTGTGCCTCCATACTGTTCCCTGTAACCCGTATAAGTTAATAAAGCAGGGTCCCCCCAACTGCAGGGCCCTGTAGTGCCACCTGCTGCCCAGGAGCCGCACAGTTTCCCGCTGCGCCTGCAGTCTCAGTATTACGATGTTCGCTGCGGCTCTACATTACCGTACCTGTGAGGACATGGCAGCCAGCGGCAGATAACAGCAGCTCCACAGCTCTCCGTGAGTCTTCCTCTTCTCCTCCGCTTTCTATGTGCTGACCAACAGCCCGCTGCTGTCGGCGGTGTGTCCACACTGCCGTTACTGACCGTTACTGAGCGTTTTTTCTGCCCGTTAACGGCGACCAGCGGTCGGACACACGGTTGACACACTGTACCGGAAGCAGCAGCAACTGTCACAGTAAAAGCGATTCCGGCTGTCTGTGTTCAGTCCGAGCACACTGAGACGCGTTAAGGTCTAAACCCAGACCGGAACCCCTCAGACCGGGACCCAGCAGCACAGTGCGGGTTCTGTCTGTACACTGAATCCATGAGCTGGACTGTGTGAACGGGACCAGGTGGCAGGCAGAAATCAAAGGGTTAACCCCTGCCTCCAACTGCCGGGTTGGCTCTATAGTCCACATTATATCCAGTAATAACTGCAGGGACACTGGAAAACCACACACCTGGATGCACTCTGATATTTCTATACAGTGTGTTACCTGTGTTATTTGTTCAGGGTTCCTGTGCGTCCAGGAAATGTAAAGACTAGTTTTCCATTATGGAAACACCTGGAATTTTATTAAAATGACCCAAAGTCCTGGAGATCATTTGTGTTGTCCTACACTGCTTTAAATGAGGGACGCACAATTAGTGGAAATATGATTGCTATGGCATTATGGCTCAGTGCAATACGTATCAGCGTTCTAATGAAGTCCTGCAGAGGGGACTACACTAACACTAAACTGGACTCCAGATTTTAAAAAAAAGCTCACATCATCCTGATTTTAATACTTTTTTTTTTTAAAGTGAAAATTAATTTTGTGATGCAAGAACCTCAGATAGGGTTAATGTTGGACCGTGTATTAGTTCTAGTGAGTAATGGGGCTGCAGTGTTTTGAACTGACTGCAGACGATGAACAGCACACAGTGTGTCACAGTGCTCAATGTGGGAGCAAATAAAGACGTATAAGCATCAGTTCAACAGGTGAAACTACGGATCTCGGTTTGCTAATATTGCTTTGATGGCAAAAACAAGATCTGGTCAGCTGGGTATCAAATGTCAAATATTACCTCTAAATTACACAGATAATAAGTGCCAGGGAGCATATATAAAGTAAATGGATGGCCCAAGTACAGAACCTTGGGAACCCATGACTAACTTTAGTATTTAGAGGTCACAACAGTACAAACGAGTACGATGGACTAAACCAGGTAGGAGTTCCTTAATGCCAATGATGCCAAGTCCGAAAGAATATCATGGTCAATGGTGTCAAATGCACACTAGATCTAATAATACAAGTAAGACAAGCCATTCAGAAGCAGTCAGAAGGTCATATAACAACCAGCTCGGCAAACCGATCCAAAAAACTATAGGACAACCACACTAGAATCTGAGGCGGTAGCTATAGTCAAAACCCGGGTCAAGAGTAACTTTAGGGTTTAATACACACTTAAACGGCAACGATAAAAATAACATACAGTAAAGCCAATGGGAACAACAAGCCAGTGACAGAGGTCATGTACATTAAAGTCAAAACAAAGTTACGGCGACGGCACTGGCAGTGTAATTTTAAGTAATAATTATTAGAAGAAGCCAGTCACACTAAGTTTAGGGGGGCGATAGAGCGTGACTCTCGCAGCTGGCTACAGTGTGAAGAGGAACCTAGGGTTGTTCTTATTTTCTTCATTAGTGCGAGAAAGGCCCGGCATTACGAGGGCCTTCAAAATCTTAAGATCATCTGCCAATTGAGCGATATTCGATAATTGGAGAGCCCATTCCTTCAGATTCAGCTATTTGCTTTAACTGGCGGGTTTGGTGGTTATACCAAGGTGCTAGTTTCCTATGTTTTAAGAATTTCCTTTTATAGGAGCGATAGAGTCTAATGTTGATCGTAGTGAGCCTGTAGCACTATCGACAAGATTATCAATTTCAGAGGGACTAAAGTTGTTATAGGACCTGTTAAATTCAGACATGGCATTGAATTAAACACTGAAGGAATCTCCTAAATTTAGCTACAGCACTGTCAGATAGACATCGCGAGGGTTGCCAATGGCTAAATCAATAGTAGAATTCAAAAGTTACTAAATAAGGCAGAAGAAAGGATTATGGACTATAAATCAATATCAATGCCATAATAAAACAAGGCAAGAGGGATTAAAAAAGAGTGGTTATTTACACCGACAGAACCAATGAGTCTATTAATGATATAAATGCATTACTAAGGCTCTGTCAACACCACATGAATATTAAAATCACCACAATAATTACTTATCGATTTAAGGACTAAGCTGAAGAAACTCGAAAATCAGATATAAAACAGATACGGTCCAGAGCGGACACTATAACAAAAGAACTGGCCAGTGTTTTCCAGTTTGGGTGAAAAACAAGAACAAGGCTTTCAAAGAATATAATTTAGTTTAGGTTTAGGGTCCATTAAAACGCTCGAATCATATATAGCTGCTACTCCACCTCCTCGGCCTGTGCCTCGAGGAATGTGAGTATTAATATGACTGGGGGTGGATTCATTTAGGCTAACATACTCCTCGCGGGACAACCAGGTCTCAGTAAGACAAAGTAAATCAATATCATAATAATAAATTAATTATAAAAAAAAAAAAAAAAAAAAAAAAAAAAAAATAAAAATTAAAATTAAATTTCTTTTTTTTTTTTTTTTTTTTTTTTTTTTTTTTTTTTTTTTTTTTTTTTTTTTTTTTTTTTTTTTTTTTTTTTTTTTTTTTTTTTTTTTTTTTAGTTTTTGGGGGGAAAGAGAAATTTTTTTGGGTTTTTGGTTTTTTGGTTGTTTTAATTTAAAAAAAAAGGGGGGGGTAAAATAAAAAACCCTTTTTCTTTTTTCTTATTTTAATTTTTTTGTTTTTAAAAAAAAAATTTCCTTTTTTTTTAAAAAAAAAAACCGCCCCATCCAAAGTGGGATGGATGCCGTCTCTCCTAATCAGACCAGGTTTTCCCCAAAAGGCTTCCAGTTATCAATGAAGCCCACATCTTACACCACCCGACAGCCAGCGTAAAGACATCGGCTATACATGTCATCACTGGTCACATTGGGGGGGTCCAGAAAACACGGTGTCCGACATTGTCTTAGCATAATTACACACCGACCCACATTAATCTTAGTGACCCCGATTGGCGTAAACGGGTGTCGTTACCGCCGACGTGATAACAATCTACTGTATTTACGTTACCTTTAGCCAGCAGTTTTAAATTTATTCAATGTCGCCCGCTCTGGCCCCAGGGATGCATTTAACTATGGCCGCTGGCTTCGCAACTCACGTTTCGACTATGGAGCTGCCAATAACCAGAGTGGTTCCTCAGCGGGTGTATCGCTGAGAGGGAAAATGTATAGAAACGTGACGGTTCTATGGGCTTTCTAGTCTTCCTTCGCTCAGTCACCCAGCCTCCCTGTCTTCCCGGCTGCTCGGAACTACCGGGGAACTACAGAGCTAACAGAAGCTACCTTCCCGGACCGCATTGGCTACCGGGGGCTGGCTAACTATAGCGGCTAAAGATATCTCCGTGGTGCGGTGCCGTTCCTCTAACTCACTAAGCCTCGCCTCCAGCGCAGTAAATAAACTACATTTAATACAGGTACCATTATCTTTAAAGGAGGCAGAGGAATAACTGAACATCGACACACTGAGCAGGACAGAGGAGAGGGAGAGGGAGAAGCCATAGCTAACTGCTAATGCTAATGAAACTAGAGTGTATGAAAAACTTTGAAAGTAGTGAAAAGTCCCTAAAAGAAAACTCCAAGTGTTTAAGAAAAATTTTTCTTTTTAAATTTTAAGCGGGTAAACTACACCGCTAGATGCCACTAAATGTCCGTTCTGGGCTACTGTAGAAACATGGCGGACTCCGCCAGAACAGGACCCGCTCCCTCTGTAGATAAAAATGTCTCATTCTAAGGTAACAAACACACAATGATTCTTATTTTCAGCTAATTAAACACTAATGAAAACATATATATGAATATTATATTCTGACAATAGATCCTCCTCAATGTGGACTGGACACTGGACCTTTAATCTGTATGTTATCGACATTAATTCAATACACAAATATGTTTTTATATTTAGGTAAGAGGAACCTTTACTCCTAATTATTTAAATGAGACATAATAGACATTTACTGGATCTGGTGTGAAAGAAAGGGCCATGCGTTTCCATGTGATATAATTTACAGCTGATAGCAATGAATGAGAAAAAATAACGTCTCTCCTCTCTTTCTACAGACGACCAGGCCCGAGCTGAAACTACCACCTCTCTGTTTACAAGACAAAGTGCCAACACCTGACTCATTTTCCACAGAGCTATCAGTTCCCAGCGGACTCATCAGGTTTCACTGTTGAGGGTTTTCTAAAGCAAACTGCATGCTGGGACACCATAAATGTTGACCTCCTGACCTCCTTCAGTTAGTCCCTGTGTGGTTCCAGCCAGTTGTTTGACCAATGCCTCGATGGAAAGTGTTCTTCACTCAGCACTTGCGATGGTCCAGCACCATCACCCAAGCCCTCGTCCTGTCTGTCATCACGTTTTGCGTCGTCCTCCCGCTGTGCTGCCATCGGCTGCTTTACTCTTACTTCTTCATCCGGTCCATGTACCTGGACTCCATGAGTGAGGAGGTCCTGCGTGAAAGCCTCGACCGAGGCCAAGACGCTCTGCACTACTGGCAGAGAACTTCCAGTGCAGGTGCAGTGGCGGTGTCTTCTAGGTTCAGTGACATCGCCCCGCATCCTGAGCTGCTGGTTATCGTGGTGACAGCCAGGCGGAACGAGGGGCGGGACTTCCATTACCTGCTCCAGGTGATGCAAAGACTGAGTGGCATTCTGGGAGGCTGTGGGGAGCAGCGGTGTGCAGAGGTGTTGGTCTGTGACGTAGAAAGCGGTCCCCAGGAAAACCAGGACGCCAAACTGCTGGAGACCCACTTCAAGGTAATTCAGCGTTCCCCCCAGGAGCAGCAGAGGAACAGGGAACGAATCAACACCTTTGAGAGGGAGAAGAGGGATTACGTCTTTTGTATTCGCAAAGGATGGGAGCTGGTGCAGCCCAAAAACATGATTGTCCTGGAAGACGATGCTTTGCCGAGGCAGGACTTTTTCACAGTCGTAAAGGACCTGCTGTCACGTCGTTTTGCCCTCCAGACTCTTTACATAAAGCTGTATCACCCTGAAAGGCTGCAGCGCTACTGGAACCCTGAGCCTTACCGCATCCTGGAGTGGGTGGGACTTGGACTGGTCGCAGCGACGGCCCTCCTGCTCACCTTTCCTTACTGGAACCCCTTCTCCTTCTCCTTCACGTTCTCGTCCGGCCACCTTCTCTTCTTCACTCTCTACTTCATGGCTGCTGCAGAGCTGCTGGGCCGGCACTACCTCCTGGAAGTGCGGAGACTTTCCCCGCAGCTCTACACTGTCTCCCCGGCCACGGAGTGCTGCACCCCGGCCATGCTCTTCCCCGGCAACGCCTCTCTCAGGGCAGCCGATTACCTGGACGGCTCGTTCTGCATCAAGGGCAACGCCAAAGACATGGTTCTGTATCAGATGGCGAGGACGATCCCCGGGGAAAAGTCTCACAGCGTGGAACCCAACCTCATCACCCACATCGGGGCCTATTCCTCGGTCAGGGCTAACCCATCCAGGCCCAAACTCCTCTGAAAGGGAGGAGCCAGGAGGAGCTGGAGGTTGCTAACTCAATGCAACAAGGCTGGATTTAATCAGGTTCCTCCTCACTTGGTTCTACTTTTTTTTCTGATATGTCCCCTTCTGAGCTATTGATCACTCAGTGAGTGTTGGTTTGGTGATTTGCAGGTGAAAACTATCTTCTTCATTCATCCATCTCAATCATGTCTGACAGAACAGATAAACTTCTATTAGACTTTACTTATTCTACATGCACGTTAGCACAACACAAAGTTTATTATTTATTTTTTACGCACTTACGTATGGTGATGGTGTTACCCAGGTGACTTACACTCAATATTGTGCCTCCTCGTTAAAAATGTTCCAATATTGGGACGATACCTTGTCTTTGATACTGGTTCTTTTATCAATATCAATTTTAGTAAAAGGTGAATTATGGTACTCTTTCAAAGACCTGGGAAATGACGAATATCTGTACAGTATTGGTCTTTATAAAAACTATAAATAAGTGGTCAGAATGAGCATTAATAACAGTAATGGCAACAGGCCATTGTAGCGTCTAGTCTGCATAAACCAAAGAAGTAAAAGAAGGAAATGACTTTGTGGCCTTGTGATGAAATCAGTTTTTCCAGGAAGTTGTGACATTGCAATTAACAACAATTTATGCAACTTTCACAAATCCCTGTGAATTCTGCGCCACCTTTTGTCTAATCACTGCAACTTTTCCATAGCAGTCCCCCACGCAAAACCTTCAGCCATACGTCACCAAACTTTTGGAGATTTTATTCTCACTGGAACAAGTTGCATTTTATTTGTAATGAATTACACAAGAGAAGGACATTTTCACTTTGTCCTGCAGTTTCATGGCAAAAGATGCATGAAAACTGTTTTTTATGTACGCCTTATCGTAATTGTTAATTCAATTGGTGCCATAAAAGTGTTGAAGGTCAGTACCCAGCCCCGGTGCAGATACAGACAGCACAGACAGCAGTGATCTACCCAGGTAGTGTAGACACTGTGATACTGTCGTCTCAATAGTAAAATCTAGAAATCACTTCAACTTTATTGTGGTTGGTAGAATCTTCTCACCAGCAAATCACATAAACCACTCTCAGTGTGCTGTGTGTTCAGTTTGGGACCACAAGTCATGTCATCGCTGCTGGAAAACTTCTTTCATCATATGTGCTGACTTCAGCTGAGGAGTTATTTGCTTCTCTGCTGCCTGACACAATTTAAAAATAATCAGATGCTGTCCACCGTGATCCACATCCACCCGAAGACAACTCTTAGAACAACAGCGTGTTCCATGTGATGATGAAAGTGGTGAGATTTATAAAGGATTTGTTCACTGTCTGTACACCCAGACCTTACCCAGACAGATATCAGAGAAGGCTTTAAATGAGAAAAGGGAGTGCCCTCAGTAGTAGAAGAGATGAATTGGAGCTTAACAATCATGGATCATCAGCCATGGATATCAGAAACTAGCTTTCTGTTGCAGTGAGGTTGCGGTTGAAAAATAGTGAACACATCTTTTATGGGACAAATTTTGGGTCTTGCCGCCCTGCAGTCCCTGTGTGTAGTCCAGTCTCAGTGGATCTAACAAGGCCAGGATTCACAGAGAAAGTCTCTTTAATGTTTGAGGACAAGACAATATCTCGTCTTTCTGATCGTGGCCTTTTTCTTTAACACCAATGTTTGTAATTTCATTATATTAAAATAGAATTTTAAAATAGTGAGCAACCATCTCTGTGATACAGAGCGATATTAACGCAGCACTGCTGCTTACTGAGGCCCAGAGAGACCATCAGGAGAAAAAAATAAAATATGTATATATCAAGGCCACGTTTTACTACAAGAAGCGCCCGAAAATGCTATTGTGTGCACAGACAATCATAGCTTCTACCAACCCTCTGGCCTGAAGGCATGTTGGGGCAAGTTAAAAACAACATAAATATTAGGGTAAAGGTCAGAGGTTGGAGATGATCAACCTAGAATGTGACAGAACAAACTATTTGGGGTCAGCTGACAGTGTCTGTTGTGCAGGTCTCTGTATACATCAATAGATACATCTATAACCGTGGTGGTGACGTCATCCAGAGCCAGCATGTGCGCAGTAGTGATCGGGGTTGGCGCCGCAGTAGTAGGAAGTAGGTCAACAAAGGGAACTGGGGTTCCTAGTTCCATTTTGCATTTTTCAGAATTCAACAGGCGTTTACTGTTGGCCGTAGCCAACCATTAAGTTTCAGTTCTGACCCTCCAAGGAAAAAAGAAATAGGCAGCCCTGGTGTTTATATACTCGTGCACAAATTAATCCAAATGTACACATTCAATAGCATTTTCAGCACTTGATGTAGTAAGTGGGCATTTATATATATATATATTTATATTTCCACTCTTGGGCTCCGAGCTGCTGGAGATTCAACTACTAGAGCAGAACCACACTGGCATTACCTCAACATGAATGCGCTCTACCGAGCAGTGGCACGACCTGGCTGTTTTCCTTCATACTTGTTTAAAATCAGAGTCTTGTGGGAAGGTCGTATATATATATATATATATATATATACTGTTTGTATTTTCAAACAATAGATTTCCATTTTCAGCGTTGAAAAGAGCAAAAGCTGTGAGGTAGAAGGAGTGTTTGGTAAAGAGAGACCAGTTTGTCTGGGGTTACTGCCGTGTAAACATCCCCAAAGAAAAATCACGACTGAGCCGCTAATGTTAGCTTAGCTTAGCATTAGCAGACACTGAGAGGATTTGCTAAAATGTCCGACTGTTTATTTAAGACCAACCAAGCGTCTCGCTGACCACCCTGTATCACTGAATGTGCCTTTAATGATTTTGCATTGAACATAATTATAACAGAATATTTACCCATGATTCAGCTCGGGTTGAAATGACTAAAGTTGATCCGTTGCAATATTTGAGTGGATTTAATTTGCACATACTTTAATAATTAAGTGAATAGAGATACAGGAAGTAGCTGCCAAAGTAAAACCAACAGGCCTTTGTTCTCCGGATACACTGGAGTTAAAATTCAGGAACTCAAACTGAGTCCTGTTGTCGGCTCTAACCCGCCAAATTAGTTTGATTCACAAAATCAAATAGCAACCATATGATTAATATTATGTTTCTTGTTGTTTAAAACATGGTTGGCAGCTTAAAATGAAACAGTTGCGTCTTCAGTTAACAGAATTTTAATGCTGATGGGATGTTAAAATATTCTAATTCCTGCTGTGTTGCAGAGAAAAATGACTGATTAACATTGCACTACGTTTATTTCATGTACACATATTTTAAAGTAAAAGTTCGACATGTACAAAAAACAAAGTGTAAAAATGCCATGTTGTGGTTTTCCTCTGGGTTATGTTCCAGTCTGTTTGTTGGCTGGGACCAGTGACTTCCTGGATTCCTCCCTCGCTGACTGCCAACAGAAAATAGTCCGGCACATACCCTGTTGAACGACTGTTTGCCATCTTTACACGTTGTTTTATTAAATGAACCAGATATAACGTGTTATTCTTCGAGCTTTAGGGGTGCTGGGTTTTGCTACCTTTGGACAGGTTGGCTGTTTGCTGGTGGACTTTAGTGGTCCAAGAGGCTTTATTTTCTCAGAGCACATTGAGCTGGACTTGTGCATCCAATTTCAGTCTGACTAACGGTGTGAGAGGCGTGGCCTTTCCAAAATGTAATTTTTGGGCCTTAATTATAGCGCCACCATCTGGCTGTCTGGGCTCATGTTTTTTAGGAAGCACATCATTTCCTGTTTTTAAGTTTAATGTTTCCAGCTCATTCCAGCTCACAGGAATTTGAGCTTTGCAGCAGACAAATAATAATAATGAAGAACTGACACAAAAACAGAATAAGGTTTCTGCTCCTTCGGGACTTGTAATTTGAATTATGCTGTTATTAATATAAAACATCCACTTTATGTATACATTCTGTACAACACTACTTAAATTGTGTCTGATTTTATTACAGGCCTCCAAATCACAAATACTGTCTTTGTTTTGAGTGAATATTTATTTTGGACAGATATGTATGAACAGCACTATGTGAGTCATTTTAAAACATATTAATTGAGCAGCTCAGATGAAATATATGAAAACATGAAACTGAATTCAGATGGATTATTGTTGATGAAAACTATTTTCTACATGATTTCTGACTTCAACATTAAATTGCACTTTCAGTACAAACATATCAAAAAATAAGGACAGAGTTAAATTATTTTATATCATTAATAATATAAAGTAAGAATCTGAGTGTTTGATAAAAAGTTCAAAATATCTTTTCTATTTTGATGGAAATGTTCAGACACATGATCCGAGTCTGTACAAAGAGCTGCAATTAGAACATTTTATTGAACTTGACAAGTTCCTCAGTTTTCCTGCTTGTTTAAGTTGGAGCTCTACATTCATTTCTTCAGTAAGTAAATTATTTAAAATTTGTTTTCAGCTTGGTTTTGATTTGGTTTTGGTTTGATTTGGGTTTTCTTCCATGCCTACAATACATATGCTTTTATTTTGTATTTTAATCAGAAAATATCGGGACACTGCAGCACAAACATTTAAGTTTAGTTTGAGTTGTGTGAAGTTTGAATGTTTTTCTCTTCATGTTAAGTTTGATGTTATTTCTTACATTATTTGACATTTTGGCAAATATATATATTATATATATAAATGAGCTCTGGACAATGACTGGTCTTCTTCTGATTCTGATGAACATGTGCTGGTTAAATCTGACCTTTCAAAATGAAAGCACTGAAATACCTTCATAAGACACAAATTAAATCTTTTTTTCTGTTCCAAGATCACATTTTTTGGGTTGAATTTAAATCGACTGTTTACACTGTTTTCTACCTTTAAAACAATAAAATAAAACACGCTGTCAAAAGTCACTTGGTTGTCAGGAGGTTTTTATTCAGCAGTGACGTCTTCTTGTCGATCAGACAGGAAGTCGGAGTGAAAGAAAATGCCTGAGATGAACAAAGCTGTTTAGTGTTTGGTTCAACAGGACAAAGCATGTACAGGTGACACACAACATCGGTTGATTTACCCACATTAACAGTTCAGACAGGAAGAAAAAAGCTATCACGCTGTGGGGTTATGTTGCAGCCACTGGCACAGGAAACATTGCACATGTGGAGGGGAAAATGGATTCCACTAAATACAGCAAATTCTGGAAGCAGAGACCACAGCGTCTGTAAAAGAGCCGAAGCTGAAAAGAGGAAATTCAACGGCAGAATAATCATCCTCAACGCACCTCGACATCCTCCACGGACTAGTGTTGTTTTTGGCGGCCTGTTTTAATTTTAGTTTTAGTGTCAAACTGTCATTTTAGTTTTTATTAGTTTTAGTAACGTTTGTACTCTTTTTAGTCTAGTCAAGTTTCAGTCGACTAAAAGTCTGAGCATTTTAGTCTTATTTAGTCAGAATTATCCATGACTATTTTAGTCTAGTTTTAGTCAATGAAACTTGTATTTTAGTCTCTTTTTAGTAATGCAATTCTATTTAACCCGGTTAATATAGTACAAGTACCTAGCATAGTATAGTATAGACAAAACCAACATTTCCTCAAGTCAAACAAGGTTATCTTATTATTATATTATTGTTACCTTATAGACTCAAGAATACATTCAATTCCAGACTGATTTGAATTTACAATATATTTATTTTACCTACCAAACATGTAAAAAGTACACACACATAAATTTAAATAAAATAAATAAATAAAATAGCTTCAAATGACAATGCCAGAAACGTTTAACTTAAAGAGAAACAAGGTGCTACAATGACATAATAAAAGAGAAAATGTGTGTGTGACTTGTATTGCTTGGAAACTGAAGTCAGATTTTGCATCATAAAGATATAACACTACAAATGGTTGGGACCTTCTGGAGATACAATGAGAGGGGAAGCACAGACTGCATACAGTGCAGTTCACCGACAGGAAACAACACACAGAGGAATGAGGAATGACGTCAACTTCACTTTGTTTCTTGAGACGTCATTAACGTTAACACACCGCAGCTGCAGCTTGAGGAAGTGACGTCGCATGCGTCTGCGCAGTGCGTTGATGCAGCCCCGAGACTCAGGAAACAGAAATATTTCAAAATAATAATAATAATAATAATAATAATAATAATAATGAGACAAAATAACGTTAGAACATTTCGTCTCGTCTCGTTTTGGTCAACGAAAATGAAGAGACATTTTAGCAGAGTTTTTATTTTGCAAACCACATTTAGTCCGTTTTTAGTCGTCAACAATATTGTGTTATTTATTTGATTATAGTTTCCGTCACATGACCGCCATTTACGTTGCGTCTCGTCTCGTTTCCGTCACGTGATAAAGGTTCGTTAACGACGAGCTCGAGTCTGTGGGTTGTGGGAGCTTTCATCCGAACTTCCTGTGAAGAGCTGAAGCTCATGGAAATGTTTTAGAAAATAGTTGTAGCTTTATTGTGTCTGGGCTTCAATATGAGCACAAATATTAGCTTTATTTTCCAATTTACATCATTTAAGGTGTACATTTAAAAGGGTTCCTTCTTTTAAAACATTGTTCATACAATTAATGATCTACTTTCTTTTATATTTTGTATTAAAAGTTACACAAGCTCCAGAGAGTGAGAGAGAGAATTTATCAATAATACACATTTAAGAGTGAAATAAAGAGTAATCAATATTTCACCTCTTTATATTATTGATATAATAGAATATATTAAACCTGAAATAACGTTCACCTCCAGTGCTTTTGTTCAGGTACATTTTTTATTTGTGAATGTTGGAAGTCACGTGACCTTTTCTCCTGAAATGCAGTTGTTGTTCCCCGTTCCCTCCCTCACAGGCGTGTTAACCTACAATAAAGGAGCAGTGTTAAACTGTCAGGAGACAATCAAACATTAAGGTGAGGAGACTGATCAGCTGTTGTTTTTCAGGCTGTTGGAAGCAGAACTCCTCCCTCTGCACACGTTGACTGTTTCTATTGAGGTCTCTGCTGGACAAACAGTTCTGAAGGTCATTTTTATTACTATTATTAGATAAGATTTTATTGATCCCCAGCCAAATATAAAGTCAATAAAATGAACACCACATTTACAATCTGCAACACTAGAGTGCTGAACACGAGTTCAATAATTAGAATTCACTATATCATATGGAGCATTGTACATCTTGAGTATTTTTACTTTAGAATCAGGTTTATTGCCAACTAAGTTTTCACATACGAGGAATTTGGCTTAATAATCACGATCAAAAAATATAACAAGAGAAAACAATGCGCAGCAACACACTAGGGCGCCATCTTGTTTTAAAGGTGCTAACTACATTTTGATGCTAATACCTTTGTATTTTTGCTTTAAATTAAAATGTATTGAACGTGTGTCTCTTCAGGTTGACAGTTTTCATTAACTGGTGGATGTTTGGTAAACCTCTCTTTGGTAGAGTAACTGTGTTGGTATAAAAGAAACAACATGCTTTAATAAAAGCAGGTCAGCTGCTGTAGATGACAGCATTTATCATTTTATGTGATATCATCTGATAAACACATGATAAAACAGTAAAAGCTGAACTTTATCCTGTGCTGCAGGTAGAGACTGGTTTATAAAGTTTAAATAGCTGGGTGGAGTTTTTATTGAAGCATTTAATCACACTGACATAAATCTAACAATTTGTTTCTACACAGACCTGATCCGGACATGAGTGAGCTTCTGGACTGACGGACATTCATGGACATAATTGGAGTAAGTGGATCTGAATTCTCTTTACTATCAGACCTCGAATGAAAATGTTCCTGTATGACATCATTATGTATTTTTGGGGGCTTTTTATTGCCTTCCATTGTGGCGACAGCTGAGGATGGACGGGGGGGCAGAGAGAGGGGATGACACGCAGCAAAGGGCCGCGGGTCGGACTCGAACCCTGGGCCGCCGCAGCAGGGACCCAGCCTCGGCACATGGGTCACCAGCTCTACCACTGAGCTATCTGGGCACCCCATTATGTATTTTTGGTTTGAAGAACTGTTTCAGGTTGTTTGAATGATGACAGTGTGATGAAGGAGATCAGACTGGGGGGGCGCATGCGGCTGTGTTCAGTCACAGAGGATCAAGTAATGTTTAAGGCATTTTGACGTCTATGGTGTCGTCTGTCTGTTGTGGTTGTGTTGTGCACGTTTTAGGTTGCAGTACTGTGTGTACAACTACTAGTGTCAGTCAGACTGATCTCAGGGTTCATAGTCACAAAACATCCGCAGGCTATAAGTTTGTTAACCCCTTTGCTTTTCTCCTAACTGGCTGAGTTAGGGGGTGCGTCAGTCCTCACTTTAAGACAGAGAGTTTTTGTAGTTTGTCTGCCTAACAACACAAATGATTACATAATCTGTTGTTACAACTATTTTTGTGAATGTAGTTTCCTCTAGTCAGAGCTCTGTATGTCTGTCATGTGACTAAGAGGAAGGATGTTAATAATGTGTGAGCTCTGACAGCATGTTGTTGTGTCTGTGTGAAGGTGTGGGCTCTGCTATGAATCAGTGTGAGGAGACCGAGGAGGGAGTCCCTCCCTCTAAAAGCACTCTGTGTGAAGAACATGACACAAGGACCAAAGCTCAGAGGTGAGATGAGGACCTCGAACTGTCCATGACTCTTCTCCATGTCACAGCTCAGCACTCAGATCACTGCGCCATCATTGATCTCACTCAAAGCTCTGTGTGTGTTGTGTTGATGCCCAGAACAGCAGCACAGACCAGACTATAGTCCCAGCTAGCAGGGAACATTCCCATTACATTGCATCATGTAACATACAATTCAAACATAGTAATTGTTGGAGGAACGTTTCATTTGTAGCATAGTAGTGATCCTGTGGTTTCTGTAGTTATAATGCAAGCCACAGTGAATAGCTGAAAAAGTACAGCAAGTACAAGTACATACAACATTCAAACATTCAACATTCTTCCACATAAAACATTTTCTGTATGGATCTGTCTTTGTCATGCTTAAACTGGAAACGGATGAACACTATTGGCTAAATATCATTGTGTCCTGGAGTATTAAGATTGCAAGTTAGTTTTTTGATACTTTGAACCGTGAATATGCAGTTGAAGATTTGAATGGTGTGATGGTTTATCTGTTTGTATCAGTGTTCTTTCGCAGAGACCAGGCTCTCCTGAACCCAGTTGTGTATCCATGAAGAGTGACCGCTCTATGTTTGAACCTTATGACTTCAGAGATGAACAGCACTCTTTTGAAGAAAGGTACGAATTTAAACCAGATGAGTTTGTCCTTAAAACAGAAAATCTTGTCATGGCGGCCTCTAGCCATGTTGTCTGTTTTTTTGTAAGGAATCCCCACTTCCAGGGCAGATGAGATATGGAATACCTGTTTGATATTAGAATCAGAATCAGAAATACTTTATTAAGTGTTAAGTGCCTTGAAAACTGTCTGAAAACCATCAGAAATCATCCTAGTCAGATACCCGAACAAGTAAAGATACCTGCACTTCTCTGTGTTCCTTTTAGATATCTGAGGGGCACACCCTGTCTCAAAAGTTATGAATGTAGATGAACAAATAATCAATACACTGCATGCATTCATGCTCATGTGGCACCAATGTTCTTGTGCTCCAGCTTGCCCTCACTTGTGAACCACACTCTGAGATACTGGAACTGGAATCAATCCCAATGTACCATGAGTTAGACTTGACTCCGATTATCTCCACGTCACACTGCAAAAGTCATGAAATGCAATCTTGAGGTGACCATACTGGACTGTGCCTGTTGATTTTTTTCTATATGAATTTCAATAATTTCAATTTCCAAGAGCAGAATAAGCAGAATATGGGACAATGCACAGCCCTGGTGGGGAATCCAGACCAAACTGTCACTCCAGAGGACAGAATGGCTCATAGCAATGGCCTTAGTACTCCACGCTCTTAACTTATCCCCAACAAAATACCCCAGGGGACAAGGTCATAGGCATCTAGACTTTTAAGACCACTGAAGAGTGACAAGTAAAAGGCCAGGGTCAAACTCCAACCCATGGCCACTGGGAATGGGGCAGCAGCTCTATCAGGTGAGCTAGGGTGCCCCAAACGCACTTGATTTAATGAGAAAACTTTTATGAGTCCTCTAGGATGCTTGCAAGAGTTAACAGCTGGCTATGAACAACCAGGATGGAATCTGCATTTCTCTTCCTGAATTACAGATTTTACCAGATTCTCTTTTTTTGCATAAGCTTACCCAGGGTGTGTAATGTGATACCCTAATAAATGGAGCACACCCCCAGCCCCTTTTTTTTAAATGGGACACCAGTCCACCTGTCCAAAGGAACTATATCTAATTAGCGCTATCCCATTTCCTGTGTGCAACTGTCCTAAAAGCAACATAGCTAAAATGTGTATCTGCTGATCATCCCATTGCTTCCTGTTTTCTTCAGAGTTCAGCAGCATCCAACAGACCTGGAGTCAATATTTATGGTATGTAAATGTCCAACCACAACTTTACCCTCCAAACGGCTCTCAATAAAATTAACACACATTGTCTATTATTATTCTATTCTTTTCCAGCATCTTGAGGAGAACATTTTCACTTTTGTGAGGAATGAGTTGAAAAACATCCAGAAGGTTCTTAGTCCAGATTACCCAAAATGCTTAGAGAGGCAGAGTGAGGATAATGATAATGAAGCGGGTGGTGAGGATGAAGAGCAGAGGAGGAGCAGCAGAGCAGCATTTCTTAAGATCACACTGCACTTCCTGAGGAGAATGAAGCAGGAGGAGCTGGCTGACCGTCTGCAGAGCAGTAAGAGGATTTTCAACACTCAACTTTTCTCATATTAACACTAACATCCACTCACTGATTGTTGTGTTTTTATTCAGGAACTCCTGCTGCAGTTTGTCAAAGTCAACTCAAGTCTAACCTGAAGGAGAAGTTCCAGTGTGTGTTTGAGGGGATTGCTAAAGCAGGAAACCCAACCCTTCTGAACCAGATCTACACAGAGCTCTACATCACAGAGGGAGGGACTGCAGAGGTCAATGATGAACATGAGGTCAGACAGATTGAAACAGCATCCAGGAAACCAGACAGACAAGAAACAACAATCAAATGTGAAGACATATTTAAACCCTCACCTGGAAGAGATGAACCAATCAGAACAGTGATGACAAAGGGAGTGGCTGGCATCGGGAAAACAGTCTTAACACAGAAGTTCACTCTGGACTGGGCTGAAGACAAAGCCAACCAGGACATACAGTTCACATTTCCATTCACTTTCAGAGAGCTGAATGTGCTGAAAGAGAAAAAGTACAGCTTGGTGGAACTTGTTCATCACTTCTTTACTGAAACCAAAGAAGCAGGAATCTGCAGGTTTGAAGAGTTCCAGGTTGTGTTCATCTTTGATGGTCTGGATGAGTGTCGACTTCCTCTGGACTTCAACAACAATGAGATCCTGACTGATGTTCGAGAGTCAACCTCAGTGGATGTGCTGCTGACAAACCTCATCAGGGGGAAACTGCTTCCCTCTGCTCGCCTCTGGATAACCACACGACCTGCAGCAGCCAATCAGATCCCTCCTGAGTGTGTTGACATGGTGACAGAGGTCAGAGGGTTCAGTAATCCACAGAAGGAGGAGTACTTCAGGAAGAGATTCACATATGAGGAGCGGGCCAGCATAATCATCTCCCATATCAAGACATCACAAAGCCTCCACATCATGTGCCACATCCCAATCTTCTGCTGGATCACTGCTACAGTTCTGGAGGATGTGTTGAAGACCAGAAAGAGACGAGAGCTTCCCAAGACCCTGACTGAGATGTACATTCACTTCCTGGTGGTTCAGTCCAAACTAAAGAACGTCAAGTATGATGGAGGAGCTGAGACAGATCCACACTGGAGTCCAGAGAGCAGGAAGATGATTGAGTCTCTTGGAAAACTGGCTTTTGAGCAGCTTCAGAAAGGTAACCTGATCTTCTATGAATCAGACCTGACGGAGTGTGGCATCGATATCAGAGCAGCCTCAGTGTACTCAGGAGTGTTCACACAGATCTTTAAAGAGGAGAGAGGACTGTACCAGGACAAGGTCTTCTGCTTTGTCCATCTGAGTGTTCAGGAGTTTCTGGCGGCTCTTCATGTCCATCTAACCTTCATCAACTCTGGAGTCAATCTGCTGGCAGAAGAACAATCAATCTCTCCAGGGTCTAAACTATCTAGAGACAATCCTGAACCAACACATGTGTACCAGAGTGCTGTGGACAAGGCCCTACAGAGTCCAAATGGACATCTGGACTTGTTCCTCCGCTTCCTCCTGGGTCTTTCACTGCAGACCAGTCAGACTCTCCTACAAGGTCTGATGACACACACAGGAAGTGGCTCAAAGACCAATCAGGAAACAGTCGAGTACATCAAGAAGAAGATCAGTGAGAATCTTTCTACAGAGAGAAGCATCAATCTGTTCCACTGTCTGAATGAACTGAATGATCGTTCTCTAGTGGAGGAGATCCAACAGTTCCTGAGATCAGGAAGACTCTCCACAGATGAACTGTCTCCTGCTCTGTGGTCAGCTCTGGTCTTCATCTTACTGTCATCAGAAAAAGATCTGGACGTGTTTGACCTGAAGAAATACTCTGCTTCAGAGGAGGCTCTTCTGAGGCTGCTGCCAGTGGTCAAAGCCTCCAACAAAGTTCTGTAAGTGCACAGATATCTGAAGATACTAACTGTATCACATGTGTATAGGTTTTCTCAACTAATGAATGTCTTAGTTAACTGATAGTTTAGGCAACAAATTGATTGATCCAGTGAAAACCTGCAAATAGTTTTTTTCAATTTAATTGTAGCTTCACAGATTAAAGGACAATTCCGGCGCAAAATGAACCTAGGGGTTAATAACACATGTGTACCGAGTTTGTCCGTTCTCTGGGATATGTTTTCATGCTAATCAAACGTGACCAGTTTTAGCACAAACTGCTAATTACCTTATAACGCTAGTCAATGGGGCACAGAGTAAAGTGAAAAGAAATCGCTATTTCTAGACCACTAACAAGGCTCAAAATAGCAACACACTTACACGCTAGCATAATGAGGGCCCCTACCTGTAAATCGAAGCATTGAGAACATTTGTAAGTGTACAGACAGTCCATTAAAAACATAGTTTAGAACAACAGTAGCGTTCACATATACAGGCGGGCGCCATCTTGGGAAAACAGTCACGAGACCAGTCGAACTCTCTGAGATGTGAAGTGAATCTTTAGCAACATGGGTATGATGCAGTCGTCCTTGTCGAAATGGTTACTGCAGACGCGGTAGTCCATCTCTTGCAGCGTTTCTACCGGTGTTTCGACATCGACGTGTAATACGTAGAGGTGGGCGATATATATCGTTTGCGATAATATCGTCATCGTTGTTTTGACGATGTGCAAATTTCCATTATCGAGTATTTAAATTACTTACTTACCAAAAATATTGAAACGCACGCGGAAACTCCTCACATCCACTTAATACACGGTGCAGCAACGCTCTCTACAGCATGGCAGGATTCAGTCACACAGCACATGACGTGATCACGTGACCTCTCGCTGGCATCCTCCTTGCAACAGTTTAGCAGCGCGTTGTGATGGTAGAGAGACAATGCAAACATCTCCAGTCCCTGAAGCTACCGGTACTTCAGATGATTTAGTGCCGAGACGTGGGTCTACCTCTCTGGCATGGAAATGGTTTAGTTTCGAAAATACTTTTTTAGTGCTTCAAGTTGAAATCTGTTCAACTTTTAACACCGCTGGGCGCTTGGAAAATGAGTTTTTGAGCGCTCTCAGCACTAAAAACGCGTTTGGTGGACACAAGCCCTAACTCAGACAATTCTAATCACATTTTAAAGGATATCGACTGATTATCGTTATCGCCAAAATCCCCAAAAATAATAAGATATTATTTTTTGCCCATATCGCCCACCCCTAGGAATCCGACTAGCCACTGCTTCAACGTATCGTTGTCCTGCAGAGGAAGTCTGTGAAAACTTTCCGGATTGTAGCGTTTCATTTTCTTATTGCAGCCGGGAAATGCCCAAACAGGAACCATTTTCTTCTCTTCTCTTCTCTTCACTATGCACTTGTACTGTTCACTCACCTTCCTCGCACCTTCTGATTCATTCACATCTCACGTGTACAACGCCTCTTCCGGCAACAAAATTTCACGCGAGATTCACTTCACATCTCAGAGAGTTTGACTGGTCGCATGACTGTTTTCCCAAGATGGCGCCCGCCTGTATACGTGAACGCTACTGTTGTTCTAAACTATCTTTTTCATAAACTGTCTGTACACTTACAAAGTTCTCAGTGCTTCGATTTACAGGTAGGGGCCCTCATTATGCTACCGTGTAAGTGTGGTGCTATTTTGAGTCTTGTTAGTGGTCTAGAAATAGCTTTTCACTTTACTCTGTGCCCCATTGACTAGCGTTATAAGGTAATTAGCAGTTTGTGCTAAAACTGGTAACGTTCGATTAGCATGAAAACATATCCCAGAGAACGGACGAACTTGGTACACATGTGTTATTAACCCCTAGGTTCATTTTGCGCCGGAATTGTCCTTTAACGCTGCCATTAAAAATAAAAGAGTTATTGTCAAAAAATTTGTCTCGTCACCTGAGACAAATGCTTTATTATTTAACTCATCACCTTAGTATCAGTGTTTGTCTTTATCTCTAACTCTCCATTAGGCTGAGTGGCTGTAATCTGTCAGAGAGAAGCTGTGAAGCTCTGTCCTCAGTTCTCAGCTCCCAGTCCTCTAGTCTGAGAGAGCTGGACCTGAGTAACAACAACCTGCAGGATTCAGGAGTGAAGCTGCTCTCTGCTGTTCTGGAAAGCCCACATTGTACACTGGAGAATCTCAGGTCAGATTAAATTTTTCCAACAGATAAGCACTTAAACATTGCTTGTCATACAAGTTTATACAAGCTGTGATATAAAACCCAACTTAACTATATACATTATAATTGAAACCACTGTGGAACAAATTTTTGCCAGGGATTTCTGAGAATGACGATTCATTGTTCAATTCAATTGTTTTACCTTTGCAACAAGGTAATATTCACCATCATTAATTCTGCTCAAATAAGTGTGTAATATAAAAGGTGCCACTCATATAGTGGCAGACCAACAAAGAAATATAACTTGTATTTCGGCGTTCTGGACCAGCTGTAGTTGGGACAGGGATGACTGAATTCCAGTGCACAGGGAGTTCCAGGCGAGAGAATATAAATGTGTCGATGACTTTCTTGAGATCTTTGAAAGAGAGAAATGGCTCAATTATGGCAATGATGCAAGTTTGGAAAAACTAGCTTTAACTACAGCATTGACTTGCTTGTCAAACTTAAAGGCGGAATCAAATATCACACCAAGGTTTTTTACATGTCGTTTACTGAGGGTGGACAGGTTGCCAAGACTGTTTCTGACTAGCTTTCATTCAATTTTAGAAGGTTTTGAGTCATCCAACTGTTCCTGAGACTGATTAAACCAGACCAGTCGTTTGGTTTCAAGGGAAGATAAAGTTGTGATAACCTGATAAACAAAACTGCAATCAAAGGGTGACATACCAGAAGAAGAGTGTTGAGGGCATATTCCACCCATGGTAGCTGGGTGCTCTAGGAGGATGGGTAATGCTCATTCAGCGTAAAGCAGTATCCATCTCCTTGTTGACCCTGTCTGGGTTTTGGCCATTGGACTGAGGATGATATTCAGAAGTAATAATATTAATTAATTAATACCAAGGGCAGAACAGAAAGATTTTCATACCTGGGATGAAAACTGGGTTCTTCAATTAGAAAGGATGCCAGTGGGGATTCTGTCCAAATGAAGGATATGTTTGACCAACAGTTCTGCATTCTCTCTGGAGGTTCGGAGTTTGGGGAGAGGAATGAAGTGAACCATTTTGGAAGTTATTGGAGTTAAAGTTCTCAATGTCTGGCTTGATCTTCCTAGAAACCACAGAACCATGCCCACCAGGCTTGCTGGAAATTGCAGTTCAATTAAATTCTGTTTAATTCAATTCAGTTTTAATTGTATCTTGCCAAATCATAACAGGCCACTGAATTCAGATGTTTAGTGGTCTGGATGAAGGTTCTTGTGGTCAGTCCATACAATGTAAGTGTAGCACCTTCCACCCACTGACCAGTTCCTCAAGGGACAGCTTAACTGCCCAGAGTTAACAGTTACCAGCATCCTGACTCCAGCAAACCTGCAGACAATTACACAAACACAGGACGAGACCCCCTCTCGTCCTGTGTTTGTGTGATTGATAGGGATATAGAGGGCTGCTCAAAAAGTGACATCATGTTCCCAGTGGAGATGTCTGTATCTTAAAAGATATTTTTGTGATCTCATAGATGTTTGCTAAAAGATATTTAGTCTTTTCCACTGTGCTATCTTTGGTAGATTGTCGCAGAAGTATCCAGCTATTTGCTAAGACATTTGCAATCAACGTCAACTGTTGTTAATATGTCAGAGTTGTGTCAGTTACATCTTGTTGGGCTGCCCCTTATATTTATATATATATGTATATATATATACATATATATTATGGCATGCCGTTTAGGAAATTAATCTTTGAATATATTGAATGAATATTTTAATATATTGAATTAATCTTTGAATAAATTGAATGAATCTTTGAATATATTGAATTAATTCTTGAATATATGGAATGAATCCTTAAATATATTGAATGAATCTTTGAATATATGAAATGAATTCTTGAATATATGGAATAAATCTTTGAATATACTGAATGAATTCTTGAATATATGGAATGAATCCTTGAATATATTGAATGAATCTTTAAATATATGGAATGAAGCTTGGATATACTGATAAAAAAATTGAGAATACAGAATGAAATTCAAAACCTAGTTGTATCCTTTTCATCAAAGTGATAGCCTTCTGAATTCACTGGTTTTACAACATGGCATCAGTTGAAATATTCCAATACTTTCTTGAACTGGAAAACTTTTTTGCTACAGGTTGTACTCCAAATGACACTAACAGTTTGGAGACTATATCGCGTCACCTTGAGGATCATATTTCCATTATTGCGACATTCATAGTGCTTATGAGTAATAATGTTCAACAAAACATTGCCGAAAGAACATTATGCGTCAGGATTTTGCCTGAGGCCTGTTGTAGTCGGCCTGCCACGATTAAAAAGGGAGCGAACTTCTTCGTCAGGAGAACGGTATTGGGCACGGGTACTATCAGGAGGATTTTGGCCCATACAAGCACTTGCCAATGAGTTAATAATGTCCTCATTGCTCAGTATTGCCGCCACAAGGTTCCGAGCTGACTGACATTCAATATATTCAAGGATTCATTCAATATATTCAAGGATTCATTCAATATATTCAAAGATTAATTTCCTAAACGGCATTATATATATGTGTGTGTATATATATATATATATATATATACACACACATATATATCATTGCAGATTAAGGTTCAGTAACAATGTAAAAGCAGTGGACTGGACAATGTATCGTCATTTAGCTCATTTCAAGTGAATTAAATATCAATGTGTGTGTCTCCAGACTTTCAGGCTGTATGATCACAGGGGAAGGCTGTACTTCTCTGGCCTCAGCTTTGAGATCCAACCCCTCCCATCTGAGAGAGCTGGACCTGAGCTACAATCATCCAGGAGACTCAGGAGTGAAGCTGCTGACTGCTGGACTGGAGGATCCACACTGGAGACTGGACACTCTCAGGTATGAACAGACAACCAGAGCTCACACAGTGTTTCTGTCACACTGACAATCTGAGGACTGTTGGTTCACAGTCTGTACCAGCAGCACTGCTGATAACAGTGAAGTCCCTGACCCCACTGATATCAGACCAGGATCTGGTGTTGATCATTTAAAGATTCCTACAACACATATAATCACAGACGCAAATACACCAGAATACATACTCATCAAGAGGTACATTCTTCACAAGCTGGAAACAGCAGTTGACAATCTCAGTTTAAGGTCCATTTAATAGCTATTCTGTGTGTTTTGATCATATTACTCATGCTCATAATGCAAGTAAATACTTGCCCTTTAATATAGCTTACTACAGTGGTATGAGCCCAAAATAAACAGATTTTGCTGTAAATTTATTGCAATAAACAGATCAAAAGGATGCCGAATTAACTACATCATGATGGCAACTTGTAAAAAGTCTGAAATCATACATTGTCGGACAGACCGACATTTAAAATGCTTGTTTTTTAAATTGAGTTTGGTTGATCAGGGCTATGCTAACTTAGTTCATAGTAAAGTAAAACTGATAGCTGGAATCAAATAACAGACACATATTTTCCAACTTCCTGTCTTTCTTTTCTCCGAGCAATGTCCTTTTCTGTCCACTCTCTGTATAAATATGAAGTAGTATCATAGTACTCTGGGTGCACCTCTGAGGCTTGCAGCAGACAGGTTGAGAAGATGAGAAGAGAGAGTGAAGATAAATGCACCTTTTAATCCTAAAAGTAAAAAAAAAAAAAGTGACAAAGTTAAATATTTTAATGAATAAATTGAATATTTTGAACTTGTGCAAATACGCTTCATAATTTGAGGCAGTAATTGAGAGTTGGGAGTTATAGTTTATTTCTTCTCTTTTAGCCTTTAATTGAGCATGTATGAAACAAATTTCATACATGCACCTGTTTTGTCTTAATGGTGGATCTGAGATTTATGGAGATCATTGATGAGGAAGCTTCTGAAGGTTCATTCTGACTTTGTTTCTTCCTCCAGGGTGGAACACGGTGGAGAGCAGTGGCTGAAACCTGGTCTGAGGAAGTGTAAGTGTGTGTTCACTTTGATTCATGAAAACATGTTAAAGTAGTTTCAATCAATTCAATTCAATTCAATTGAATTTTATTTGTATAGGGCCAATTCATAACAGAAGTTATCTCAGGACACTTTTCAAATAGAGCAGGTCTATACCGAACTCTTTATAACATTATTTACAGAGACCCAACAGTACCACCATGAGCAAGCACTTGGCGACAAGGGCAAGGAAAAACTGCCTGTTAAAAGGCAGAAACCTAGGACAGATCCTCCGGCTCTAGGTGGGTGGTCGTCTGTCTCGACCAGTTGGGGTGAGAGAGAGAGAGAGAGAGAGAGAGAGAGAGACATACAGAGATAGAGAGAGACAAACAGACAGACAGATGGACAGCAACAACAGTAGACACAACAGTTGTGTATCTGCAGTCAGTTTGAAAGAAGATCCAAACAGATGAGTCATTGTGAAGTTTTGATCTAATTAACAGTCAGTCTGTTAATAAAGCAACAAATAAAGCCATCAGCTGTGTTAGATGATAAACTGCTGCTGTATTGGGTCTTGTTCTCTCCATCAGATTCCTGTAAACTCACAGTGGACACAAACACAGTGAACAGAAACCTCAAACTGTCTGACAACAACAGGAAGGTGACATATGCAATAGAGGAGCAGTCATATCCTGATCATCCAGAGAGATTTAATGTCTGCCCTCAGCTGCTGTGTAGCAATGGTCTGACTGGTCGCTGTTACTGGGAGGTCGAGTGGAGAGGAAGGGTTTATATATCAGTGAGTTACAGAGGAATCAGAAGGAGAGGAGACAGTGCTGACAGCAGGTTTGGCGGAAATAATCAGTCCTGGAGTCTTTACTGCTCTTATGCTGATGGTTACTCTGTCTGGTACAACAACAGAAGAACAGCCCTTCCCTCGTCCTCCTCCTCCTCCTCTGTCTCTAACAGAGTAGGAGTGTATGTGGACTGTCCTGCTGGCACTCTGTCCTTCTACAGAGTCTCCTCTGACACACTGATCCACCTCCACACCTTCAACACCACATTCACTGAACTTCTTTTTCCTGGGTTCAGGTTCTGGTCTGATTCCTCAGTGTCTCTGTGTTCAGTGTAGGAGGGAGAGTCTCCTCCTGTAAGAAACACTGCTGACAAGCACAGTCCGATAACAAACATTTTTGAGAAAACGTCTTGTAATGAATCCAATGTTGATGTTGTTTTTGGTAAATGACTGCATGTACATCATTTGAAATAACTTTAAATATGTGATAAGATAATAATGATAATCAACAAAAGGCTGCAGGTTGGAACTGGACTGCGGTAAGGACTTAGCCTACATGGGTTACCTGGGTGAGCTACCGTGCACCCCACACATATATACATATTCAAAAATCGGAAATTCTTTTAGTTTAGTTTAGTTCAGGTGTAGTTTTGACAGATTGATATGTATATATATATATATACATATATATATATATACATATACATACCGCCATCCGTAACATAAATGTTAGAAGATGCTGGTGTACTAATAAATACTCTTGAATACGCCTGTATGGACATTTGGAAATGATTTGATCGTCATACGACACAAGGGCAATGTGTCAATTAGGCAAGTATTGGTAGCAGCCCCTCAGTGGCTTGTTTGTTCAAGCCATACATTAAGACATTTTAGAACTACACTTCCCATTGGGATTTTTTGGGTTTCTGTTTTCAAGCCTGGTCAGTTTTATGTATATAGCCCATTATCCATTGATCCATTTTCTGACACTTATCCGGGGCCAGGTTGTGGTGGTGGCAGGTTATCCAGACATCTCTCCCCCATGATTGTTCTCCACTTTCTCCTGTGGATACATTCTACTTGCATGCACAAAGAAATGTTCCAAGGAACACACCCAGGAGGCATCCGAATCAAATTCCTGAACCACATCAACTTGTCACATCTGGTCAATTCCAGCAACAGCGGGAGAATCAGAATCAACTTCAGCCTCCTGCCAGAGGGTAGTGTCTCAAAGAGAGCTCAGGGTCATGGAGGTGTGCAGAGAAGTGTGTAAGACAGCAGCTCTGCTTCCTGGTCCCAACTCTGGATTGTCAGGTTTTAGGATCAGAAATAAACTTTGTCATATTCCGAGATAAGCGAGCCGCTCCGTCCAAAGTGGGATGCACGCCATCTCTCCTAATCAGACCAGGTTTTCCCCAGAAAATCCGCCAGTTATCTATAAAGCCCACATAATTTTCTGGACACCACCTCGACAGTCAGCGGTTGAATGACAACATACAGCTATACATGTCATTACTGGTCAGATTGGGCAGGGGTCCAGAGAAAACTACGGAGTCCGACATTGTTTAAGCATATGTGCACACATAAATTCTGGTTAACTATGTTTGGTGTAATTGGGTGTCATTGATCGCAGATGTGAATAACTATCTTACTATATTTACGTTTATCCTTATCCTGGTCTCAGGGATGCATTGAACTGTGGACGCTGACTTTGGTAACTTCACGTTTCTGACTATTGAGCTGCCAATAACCAAAGTTGATTTCTTAGCAGGTGTCACTGAATGGGGAAAATCTATAAACCTGTTGGTGGTGAACTGTGGGCTTCTGCTGTTTGGGGTTATGCTTCATTCGGACAGTCACACAGCCTCCCTGGTTTCCCAGTTGCTCGGGAACCGCCGGTGCATGGCTAGCAGAAGCAACACTGGGTCGGCCCGCACCAACTATAGTGGCTAAAGATTTGCCGTGCTTCCAATTCACTAATCTTCGCGTCCAACGCAGTAAATAACATGTACCTACCTGTTTAACAAACACCTGCACATAAAAAACAACCTGCATTATGGCGATAAACAGGTTACAGTTAAAACTAGGCTGGGTTTTAAAAGTTAGGATAACATTTTGATTAAAAGTGAATGGATTAATGGGGGGTGAAATCAGAAATACGTTTCTGCCCATAGGACGACACTGCGCACATTTACAAATGAGGCACAGCAGCATAACTTGCTTGGACTTCAAGATTTTTTTTTTTTTTTTCAGGAAACTTTTTACACAATTGAAGAGTTTTACACAGTTTAAGAGAGCTATTGACAAAAACAAGATAGAGACACAATTCACTTGCTTGTACTTGTAGTCATAAAGTACATTATAAGTACCAAATACTCCTTTCCAAGTACTCGCTCAACCCTAAAACACGTTTTTTTTGTCAGTGGTGTCTGCTGGGCCATTTGTTGTGGTCTGAGATGCTGGTGCTCTAGTGCGACGTCTAGTGGCAGTTAATTTCATATACCGTAAAACAGCCCAGCTGTTTATTTGCTCAAATCGCCGAACTCCCTGCTTTTATTGGTGACAGGCATCTATTTTGGACAGGCGTTTGATTCCGTTACCACAAAACTCTTGCTCAGCACAGATGAAAATACTTTCTCACTGTGTTGCTTCTTCTGAGTTTTGTTCAGCAAATTTGACAACTAACAGCTTACAGTAAATTTCAGGTCATGCCGCCATGACACTTGAACGTAAACATCACTTTACGGCAGCCGAAGATTTCTGGCAGCCAGCGTACAGACAGCGAGCAACAGACTTCACATGATTATATTCACAACTCAGATTAATTTAAAGAAACACTTTGATTGTTTTGATCGATGGACCCATACATCCTAAAGGAATATAAATAATGGAGGGACGGACACAGACCGTACAAACTTTAGGATCTCGTCTCTCTTGTTTACAGCGCCGGTGAGTCTGAATAAATTAATGTTTTACTTTGGTGTTTATAGTTTCAGTAAAAAAAAGCATTGAATTGTGGAGAATCGAACTGATCCAACAATGTGCAGCATCCATACTGATAGTTTAAACATTTATATTTGTGTAGGAGATCTAAACGGCTTAAAACTCGCTCAAGCAGGCGACCCGTGGGTTTTAAGAGGATTTTTCCAGATCATTTTCATAAAATCCGGCCTGTATTCAATTCAATTCAATTCAATTCAATTTTATTTGTATAGCGCCAATTCATAACAGAAGTTATCTCAGGACACTTTTCAAATAGAGCAGGTCTAGACCGAACTCTTTATAACATTATTTACAGAGACCCAACAGTACCACCATGAGCAAGACCTTGGAGACAAGGGCAAGGAAAAACTGCCTGTTAAAAGGCAGAAACCTAGGACAGATCCTCAGGCTCTAGGTGGGTGGGAGAGAGAGAGAGAGAGAGAGAGAGAGAGAGAGACCTTTAAGGTTAGTGGATGATGGTGGTCATGTTTAAAAGAAATCAACGCCAAAACCATATTTTTCACAGTAAAACCTTACACCATTACCAAGACTCTACAGACACAATCTGCACACATTGACTCGGTAACACCATTCACTAACCTGTGATGAAGAGTTTGACGCAGATGGACACACACTGACTGTCCAGGTCCTGCAGTTTAACATTTATTTTCTAAAGACATAGAAGATCTCTTCTTCTAAATTCCTTCACTCTTTGAGGAAGTAAAAATCATGAACTGGGTTTTTATTGTTTGATCGGCAAAATATGACGCAGCGCACAGAATTTTTACAGCTTGTGTCACCCAACAGGATACAGGACAGTGACGTCTGCCTGCTCTCATCTACTGATCACTATCAAAATTATCTTTCAAACACTCCATGAAGCTTCTCCGGGTATTTTTAAAGACTTCCAGCTTTAATTCAGCAATGTTTGTTCATGTTTCCAACACGATGATAGATCCTTAATATAATGATTCAGATTTGGTCTGTTGACATTTTCCATCCTGTCGCACTCGCTCTCTGAGCTTTATCTGTAAATATCTGTCAGCAGAAGAGGAATGATTGACAGGAGCAGCAGAGTGTCAGACTGCAGAGTGACCAGCAGGAGGCAGCAGATCCACACAAACACACACAGAAATAACATGAGAGACTTCAGAGGTGGATTCAGAGTCACATTAAAACCTGTTGAGAAGTCAGTTTGTTGCACTTTCTGTCAGGTTAATGAAGCTTTTAATCACAACTGATGGATGGATTAAAAACACTGTGCAGCAGCTGAGAAACATTATTGAAAAAGACTCTTTATTTTACTGAATGGTTGGATGGATGTATCATGTGATTGTGTTTGAAATAAGCTTTTAAATGACTCATATTTAATAGTTGATGTAATGATAACTGCATACTATAATAATGTAATAACTCATTCAGAGGCACACATATCATTAGGCCAAGGGTAGCAATTGGTTTTGGCCCCAAGCTACTAAGGGCCCCAAAACCACCTCAAAAACTGATGGTTGAGAAAGTTTTTTTAAACTTTTTGCTAATTAATTATGTCTTAAGAAAAAATCATTCATGAGTGTCCCAGTCCCCTAAGTGTTTAGGAAATAGTCGTGGATTTAGTGGCATCTAGTGGTGAAGTTGCAGATTGCTCAGCCTTCCATGCATGTAGGAGAAACTACAGTGGCTGCAAAACCTTACAAACTGCCATATCTAGAGCCAGTGTTTGATTTGTCCCTTCTGAGCCACTGTATACACATCAGTATGTATCTGTATGTACATAATGTACTATGTTTAATTCACTGGCTGACTGTAGATTTTATCATATGTCTTCTACAGAGTAATATTAAAGGTCAAACTCTGCAGTAACCTGAAAGCTCACACTTCCTGTAAAAGGAAACACTTTACCATGTGAATGTGAGCAGAGCACCAGAGATCATAACCACACTGTTTCTTTCTGGGAACCAAACTCTACATGCACATTTCCTGTTTTCACAACTCTTCGTCATGAAGAGATTCAACTGTCATTGTATTTTTCTTTAAAATGTTATTCCGTTTAAGGTTAACGTCTTTAAAAAATTATTTCACTAATTATTTAACTGTTATTGTATGAACCTTATAGTCTTCAGAGGTTTTCATCACATGATCAATCTGATTACACTGTGTGTGTGTGTGTGTGTGTGTGTGTGTGTGTGTGTGTGTGTGTGTGTGTGTGTGTGTGTCTGTGTGTGTTACTGTTACATTGTGCAGTGTAGTCAATCATCATTGTGATAAAGGGTCACTGAAGCCGTCTCAGTAACATATTGTCTGCTCTATTCGAAGTGTCCTGAGATAACTTCTGTTATGAATTGGCGCTATACAAATAAAACTGAATTGAATTGAATTATGAAAATGAAAATCTTCTGTAAGAACAGTGAAAATCTATTCAGGAGCACTGAATCTGTTCTTACAAACACACTTAAGGAAGGAAGGAATTACAACTCAACATACATATATGAACCCAGGTGAAAACAAAATCTATTAAAAATATACTTTTTGAAAGTGTACTAAGTACA